CCCCCCCGAAAAGCAAATAGAAATTAGAACTTTTTCAACTTAATTTTTAAAAATGTTCCGAAAATACTGACAATTTTATATAGATTATAAATTTAAGCTTATGTAATATACTTTTATATGAAAAAAAACATTTCAAATTATAGATTGCCTTTATGGTGAAAATGGCTACCGTATTCAAAAATATGTTATTTTTATTATAATTCTCGGTTTTATATTTCATACTAAATTTTTTATATTAAAATATCTTACAAAATTTTGCCATAGTAATGAGTCAACTGATAAATATAAATATATAATTACCCCAATAAACTATATTTTAGGGATATAATTAATAATATTTAAAGCTAAAAAAAATTAACGACAGACACAAAAATAAAGCATATAGTAATATATTTTATTACGAATAAGGAAGTCATTCTCACAAGAAGAGACTAAAGTGATAGGATCATCGATGTCGATTAAATTTTATTTATTATTCATTTTGAATTTTTTTGACATCAAAAAATAATTAAGAAAAAAATGTAAAAAAGTTATTTTGACTGAAGGGTGGTTCGAACTTCGTACCCCCAGAGTGTAAGACTAAAAATTTGCGACGCAGCCACCGTACACTATAAGAAATAAAAAGAACTATTTAAACTAAATTAAAAATTGAAAGTCGCTTTTCTTAACTTTGAGGTGGAAAAATAATCAAAGTAAGTTTAAATTTATATTTAATGCAAGTTAAATTCATGTAACTTTTATAAAAATTGATGACCTCATTACTATAGTTAACCCTTATAAAGTATTTTAAAATAAACAAAATAAAAAAATGAAAGAAGTTTATGTAATGTATTTAGGAAAAAAAATTTGTGTTGATAGATACATTTTTCGAAATGTTTCTAGTAATTTATAGTTGAAAATATAAAATCGAAAATTTTAACACAAAAACGTCAGATTTTTAACTACGGCAGCTATTTGCGCATAAAAGATACGTCATCTTACAAATTTTTTTTTCAATTTATAGTACGCAAAATAAGCTTTAATTAAACATATATTTAAAAGACGCAGTATTTCCGGAACATTTTCAAAAGTCATGTTGAAAAAGTTAACTTTTGTAAAAAAGTTGCTATTTTGAATCTTAACAATCAGGTAAAAGGTCAAAATGTCAAAAAAATTATACCAAATAACAGCAAAATACCTAAGATTTTATTAAAAAAATTATTTTGATTTGTTAATTTTAGAAAAAGTTATAGTAATTTTAAGAAAAAAATGTCAAAAATTACTGATTTACAAAATTGTAATTTTTTTGGAGATTACTCAATTTACGGAGAATGAGGAAATTTTTCAATTTTTAAAGGTAATATCTTCAAGTAGATACGATTTGTGATCTTTTGACATATCGTTGAAAGCAACTGGTCCAGTAAGAGCTGAGAAAAAGTGGCAACAGACACACAAAAAAAACACATAATAGTTAAATTAATACCTTCTTAGCTTCCCATCGAAGCTTAAATAACGTGCATTATCAGGAGTAATTATTAGACTATATGATTTTAGCTTCGTTTAAAATATATAATAAAAATTGCTATATTTTACTTCAAGTAAAAAAAAAATTATTTTAAAGAGTTGTATTTTATATGTAAACAATCCCTAACATTTAATAAATTAATTAAAAAAATCAATTTTTTTGTGGTGTTATTATTTACTTAATTTTTGGTAAAATTAAAAAAAAAATATTTTACACACATAAATATTCACAACTTTTTATTGAGTAAGCTAAATAGCTTACTAAATAATAACCAAAGTACAATTATTATTTAAAAAAAAGTAGTGATCATATATCAGTTATCTTTAGATTATGATTTTCTTCATCTTAATTTTTTTTAGATACCATCAAATAGCCCAACTTTAAGCAGTTAAATATCTATATATTTATTTATAATTTTAGTAGTAAGTCTATAATCAAGAAAAAAATTTTCTATTATTAAACTGGTAACTTCAAAAACTACATAAATCATAAAATTATAACATTAATATTTAAATATTAAAACTGCAATTGTGCCTTCTGTCCTTTTTTTATGTTATTAACTTACTGTAGCTGATATTTGTATTAAATATGAGTTGTATTAAAATTAATTTTTATAAAACTTAAAAAAAATAATATTTGAAAAATGAATGAATTGTGTCGTTTCTGAAATAACTGATTCAATTATTAATAAAATGATATAAAATATTTTATAAAAAAATAATAACAAGAATAATTTTTTGATTGAGAAATATTTTTTTCAATTTTACATTATATTACATAACAAATCATGAATATTAATCAAAACACTTAAAATTATAACATCTTAAAAAATATAATAGAAAATATGTTAACTCCTAGGTGCTGCATACTCCAATTTTAAAATTTCATAACGAATACGATCCTGAAAAATTTAATATAAATAAAATATTATGCAATACAAATTTTTTTATGATTATTATATAAAGACTATGTCTTTTAATATTAAAATTTGAACTTGTATTATTTCTGGAATATTAAAGTTTGTTATGTAAGATTCATAAACCAAAATTTATTTTAATAAAATGTTAATATATTAATATGTTATATATATATATTATATATGTTAAAATATTACTGTTGTAATATTGTGTCAATATTTTAAAGTTTACTATTTTCACTTAAATATCATTTTCATACAACTAATAATTAAAAATACCTCAGGTGATACTGAAGGTCTAATTTTTAACAGAGCCTCATCAAAGTGTTTATTTTGGATTGCTAATTGTTTGTTTTCTTCTGTAGAAGTGATATATTCTTCCAGGCAAATAATTCCAGCTTCTCTTACCAAAGCGGCCAAATCTGCTCCTGTAAAGTTGTTACATTTTTCGTTTTTACCTATTACTTCTAAATCAACATCACAGGCTAGAATAGGTTTTGTACCAGCCTAAAATAAAAACGAATTCTAAAACATTTTAAAATACGTAAAAATATAATTTTACAAAAGTTAATGGCTTAGCTACCAAATCTTTCGATGAAATAAAAACATAAAAAACCAGTTGAATTTTTTAAAATAAAAGAAAAATAATTTTATAGCACCTTAGTTATTGCTCTTAATATATCAACGCGACCTTCATCATCTGGTAAACCAACATAAAGAACTTTGTCTAAACGTCCAGGTCGAAGTACAGCAGGATCAATCATATCAGGTCGATTTGTAGCACCCATAACAAATACACCACCACTGCGACCACCTTCAAAGCCATCCATTTCTGTTAATAGCTGATTTACAACTCTTTGTCCAGATCGACCACTAGCCTATAATTATTTAAAAAGTTTAATATTTACATAGTTATATAAAAAACATGTATTATTATACATTTGACTTACATCCATATCACTTCTTTTTGGACATAACGCATCAATTTCATCAAAAAATATTACACAAGGTTGTGAATTACGTGCTCTTTGAAAACACTGTCTTACTCCTCTTTCACTTTCACCAACATACTAATTTAACATAAATTTTAATTAAAAAAACTACTTGATTAATATTATATAAATTAAAGATGATGAAAAACTTATTGAAAATATTATAAAAGTTAATGATAGTGAAACCAAACACACTAATCAAGCGTAAGTAACTATGAATTGACTTTTTTCATTTTAATGACAGCTAGTAGAATATTTTTAAATATTTTTGAAGATTCAAAAATAAATGAATTCAAAATACTTTATTTGTGTCCAGGCAATTTTGAAGATTATTTATGATATATAAAAGAAAAATATTAAAAATGACCTAGTTATTTAAAATAATCTAATTAGTAAAAGTTTTAAAGATATGTCTTTAATATACAAGGCTTGTTCAGAAACAGGAATTTTCGTTTATTGAAAAACATATTTATTGATTTGTCTACATTTATGTTTTCGCCTTCAAAAAAGTTCCTATTAGATATTATGCAGTTGTGCCAACGTTTCTTTCAGCCCTCGAAACACTTCTCAAACTCAATCATGAGTTTGGGATAGTCTTCAGCTTATTCAGCGATGCATTTTTAATGTCATCAATGCTTTTAAAACGACAGCCCTTTGAGATTCTCTTTATTTTAGAAATAGAAAAAAATCACACGGAGCCATGTCTGCCGAATTTGGAAGCTGGGGCATCATTACATAATTGTTTTGTTCAAAAATTCACAAACAAGCAATGAAATGAGAACAAGTGCATTATTATGGTACAAAAGCCATGAATTGTTTTGCCACAAATTCGGACATTTTTTTTCAAACTGCTTCATGCAAATAGCATTAAACTTGTAGGTAGTGCTCCATATTGACCGTTTGACCTTGTTGCAAGAATTAAATGTCATTAAAATCGAAGAACACAGTGAGCATAACCTTCACGTTTGACCGCACCTGTTGAACCATTTTTGGTATTGAATGCTTCTATTGGAATGATTGAGCCTTGGTTATTACGTTGTGTCCATAAACCCATGTTTCGTCACCTGTTATAACACGTTTCAACAATTCTGTATCGTCGTTAACTTCATTAAGTAACTCTTGAGCACCTTTATTAGCTACTTTTTTTGTTCTAAATTCAACAATTTTTTCTGCTACTCGTTTTATACTCAAAACATTCAAAAAAAAATTTTATAGCCTAAGCCAATTGATATTTCAACATTTTCAGCGACATCTCTGATTGTGTTTCAAACAATTGTTCATAACCAATTCTTTTACTTTTTCCATGTTTTCATCGGTTGTTAATGTGCTGAGTATTCGTCATATTCAACGGCTGTGAAAACGTTTATACCATTTGTAAACTTTTGTTTTAATCATGGCAGACTCACCATAAGCTTTTGTTAACATTTTACACACTTTGTTACATTTGATTTCATTTTTTACACAAAATTTGACACAAATCCTTTGATACATTTCTTGAAACAAATAAAAATGCCTATCTCATAAAAATACGTCTAATCTCAGCGGCTGCCACTGACAAAGTAAAAAATGAATCCAGCTGAAAATTTTATCATACTTCAGGGACATGTGTACCAACATTATAAAAAAAAATATTGATAATCAGACTCTCCAAACCCCCAAAATTAAAAAATTCCTGTTCTTTTCTAAACACACCTCGTAGATATTGTATATACAGTGACAAGCAAAAGTGAACAGAATTTCCAAAATTTTTGGAAAATTGGCATTTTCAAAACTAAATATAAATTCAATTTAATAAATTTTTGAATCTATATTCTAGGGATTAAAACAAAAGTTTACGCATAAAAAATAATCATGAAAAAGATAAAAGGCCTAAGAGTTTGTTTATTTAAAAATAAACACTTTTGCACCTGCTATTAAAACAGTATAAAAACGTAAAGCGGAGTGCGTGTCCTTGACTTGTTATTGTTGGGTGTCTAGAGAAAAGAGATTTTTCATTATTGATTTGTTTACATTTCTTTCTATTACAAAGAAAATATGAAACTTCTATTTTAATCAGTATGAACCGGTCTTTCGTAGTGAACAACACAAATTGTTTTGATGCTAAAATCAGGTCAATCAACCAGAAAAATGGCTCGACAGTGTGGTGTCAGCCAAGTGGCAGTGCAAAAAATAAAAAACAAAGGTTGTCCTAACGCTTCGCCCCGACTAAAAGGAAGACCTAAGTGTACTACCCCACAAAATAGGGCTAATTCTTCATATTCAAATCTTTTTGGCTGCCCAGGTCTCTCTTGGTCTTCTAAGCCAAAATTATTGCTTTTAAACCCTGCAAACCACTTTTGACACGTTCGCTCAGCTAGAGCATGGTCACCATAAACTTCAACCAAAATTCGATGACTTTCATAATATAATAAAATAATGAAGAAGAACTCCCCGCAAAAACACTTTATCCGGCACAAAACTCGACATTTCTAGTTAAATAAAAAAATCTTTGTTTACACTTCAATCGAATGATGTATACTAAAAAAGATTCCCAATGATAGAAACTTTTAAACGCATGTTTATATAAACGAAACGATGGAACAGTAAGCTAGTTACGCCATCTCTTGTAAAACTGCACAAACTAATTCCTAGACCAAATACATTTTAAAACTGTATTAATAATAAAAATAAATCATGAAATTTCATATTTTTCATTTTTTCAAAGTTTTAAAATATTTTTTTTTGTATTATAATAAATAATAAAAAATATTCTTTTAAAATAGTCTTTTTCTTAGATTTTCTTAGATCGAAAAACATTAAGTAACTTTTGAATATACTATTAATTATTGTTATAATTATTTTTTAATTATTATAATTATTGTTATTAATTATGTATAGATCATTTGAACAAATTAAAAATAACTAATATATAAACTAATTATTGAGTTAATTTAGTTGGCAATATTAAGTTAATTGATGATTTTTCAATTTTTTTTCAATATGGAAAATATTTGATATTTAAATAGGATATCAATATGAAAATTTTACAGAAAAAACTATTGATATCAAAATGATATCAATATTCGATAATTCTGATCGATCCCTATACTTTATTGCCTGAATAAAATATAATATTGTTAAAATTGTGATTTTTACTAATAATTAAATTACTAATTCTTACCATATTAAGTAATTCTGGTCCTTTAATTGATATAAAGTTAATACCAGCCTCATTAGCTACAGCTTTAGCCAACAATGTTTTACCACAACCTGGTGGTCCACACAATAATACCCCAGTTGGAACATCTAATCCAAGAGCTGTAAATTCTTTAGCATGAGTCACAGGAGCCTATAAAATATAAACTTATGTTAATTTTTTAAAATATTAAAAACTTCACAACAGTCATTTGATTTATAGTATATTATTTTATAACTATAAATAAAAAAAATTTTAATTTACTTACAAGCATAGCCATATGTAGTTCTTGTCTAATTTTTTTTAAAGAACCTATGTCATCCCAAGTTATATTAGGTACTGTAACAAAACCTTCTCTTTTAGAAGAAGGAACAACTTTCTTCAAAGCTTCTTTAAAATCATCTAGTTCTATTTTTATTGAACCCAATTCCTCTTTAGGTATAATATTACTTGAACGTAATAAATTTAATGTATCAAGAATTTTATTTTTTGGTATAATTTCAGTTTCATTAGGTTTTTCACCATTAAGATAATTTAATCTATTTTTAATTTCTTCAATAGTTCTAAGATAATATCAATGTAATAAAAGTTTTAAACAAACATATATATTTAACCAACAGTAATTATACCTATTTGCAGCTACTGTAGCTGCCTCTCTAGTGAGCGATTTTAAATCAGCACCAACAAAACCTGGAGTAAGTTCACTTAATCTATCTAAAGTAACTGATGGAGCAATACGTAATTCTTTGCACATTAAATCTAACATTGCTCTGCGAGACTGTCTATCAGGAATACCAAGACAAACTTCACGATCAAACCTTCCTGCTCTTCTTAAAGCAGGATCTAAACTATCAGGACGATTTGTAGCACCAATCACAATAACTTTATCATCATCTTTTAAACCTTAAATTTTTAAAATATAATTATTATAAAATCAATGGAGGTCTAAGCGAGAATAATGTAACATTTCATAAATTTTATAGTATTGAATAAAACAAAATAAATATTTTAATAATACTCAACGGTTCTCATGAAAGCACAAATATTATGAGTGATAGATTATTCTAGAGCTAAAAAAAAATGGAATCCAAAAAAGTTGTTACATTTTTTACGTCATTCCCACCAGGCTTCATTTATTCAATATTATGTATTCATTAAAATTGTCTTACTATCTAATGAAGATAACAATTGAGCAACAATCCTGCGTTCCATATCACGAGATGTATTATCTCGATTAGGAGAAATAGAGTCCACTTCGTCAATAAATAATACACATGGTGCTGACTTGACAGCAGATTCAAACAATTTTCTAACTCGTTTTTCTGACTCACCACTTATTCCTACAACTAATTGTGGAGCTGCTATACTGATTAAAGGTATTTTTAACTCCTAAAAATGTAAAAAAAATGTATAAAAACATTTTTCTTAGAAACAATATACACAAAAATATGCATACTCCTGCAACTGCTTGGGCTAGAAGTGTTTTTCCACAACCAGGTGGCCCATGAAGCAAAAAACCTTTTGGTGGAGAAACTCCTAAGGTTTTGTACACTTCAGGGTGTTTTATATGCATAATAAGTTGGCATATTTCCTAAATTATAAATACATTTTTCAACAACTTAAATGAAAAATATAAAATTGTTATTATTTTTACCAACAAAACTGAATCACATCCTGCAAGATTATCAAAATTCACATTAACTTCTTCTGCAGATCCAATTAATTGAAAAACTTTTTTTAGTGGTGTCGGCATACCATCTACTGTTTTATTCAAATGCTCAATTTCTCTTTTCAGTTTCTTAGCAGGAGTTGTTACCCAACCTGACTAAAAATTAAAAAGGCAGTTTTAGTTTTATTCTTTAATAATGATAATAATATTATTAATACATTATAATTCATATTTTGATAAAATATATGTATTCTATTTATAGAGTATTTAATTAAAATAAGCAAATGACCTGATTGTTAACTTCTCTAGAAATGTTCTTTACTGTTTTTTGTCTTGCTCCATTAGAAGTAGTTTGGTTAACATCAACTACTATACCTGGCTCTATATCCATTCTGAAAAGAAAAGTTAGATAAAACATAATACATCAACTTAAAACACTGATTAATGCAAATCAATAACTTTTAAGTTTAAAAATATAAATCTTTCCAAAAAAATTAACATCTCATTATTTGACATATGATAGAAAATACCTTTTGTAAAATACAAAATTTAAAAGCTTATATTTATACCACATTAACTATAGAATAAAACCAAAATAATAAATAATTTTTAATTGAATTTATAATATTCTGATTGATTTTCTTTATTTTATATTAAAATGTAAACTTATTACTTTTTTTAATGAAAATTGATGATAATCATAAATTAGATCATATACATGTTTTAAATATTTTATATTTAGAGTTAACTAAATAACTAAAAATAGCAATTGTGGTGATATTTATTTGAATGCAGTCTTTAATTAAATTAATAATGAATAATAAACGAAAATATAATTAAAACTTTTTGGTTAAACAATAAGCTTTTATCCATGGTTAAAATCAAAAAACAAAAATATTCTATACAGAATAGTACAGTTCTAACTGACAACTTCTATAACTTTTAATATAATCAACATATCATAGTAATTTTTATTTTATTAATTTATGCATTCATAGATAATACCATATTTTTATTATTTTAAATTTTTTCAAAATTTTAAAATTGCCAATTTTGAATCACTTTTCTTACAAAAAATTTTGATGGGTCAATTACAAATTTAGGATAAGTTATTATTGAGTTACAAGTATTTTTACAATTAGAATGGGTATGTAACAATGGTAGAATATCTAATACAAAGAAAGATCATTATAAGTTATACCTATGTTTAAACAAGTTTAATAATTTTTATATTATAAAAAAAACATTATATAACAATGTTGATTATATAATAAGTTAGGGTGAGGTGAGGTAATTGTAAATGGATTTTTTTAGATAAATTAACAAATTTTTAATTTAAACTTTTAATATGATAGTAACACTTAGAAGAACTAGAACTTTTCAACCTGAAATAAAATAATTTATTAAAGCCCATTGGTTTACATTTACCCCACTCCTATAGGAGTTATCAGTTAAATGTGTTCCAGCCTGTATTCTACATAATTCATTTTTTTTTGTCATAATTTAAAGCATAAAACATTACTAACTAATTTTACCCTATTTTTACAAATTGCCATTTAAGAATAACAACAGTAATAATATATAATTGCTGGCTATAATAATATTATATGTTGAAAGCTATAAAAAAAAACAAATCTTGTTAATTAGACCATAAAGCTCATAATTTATAGTGCTCAATAAATAACACTTCTCAAATTTTATAAATTCAAATAAACAGGTTCAATTATAAAGTTTACATTTAACAAAATAACACTATTAGTTTTATTAAACAATGAACTAGGATTATATATTATTCTGTTTATTAACCTAATAATACAACCCAAGTATTAAATACTATTAAGATTAATGCTTATAATCATGAATCATTATAATATACTCTGTATGAGATAAAAACTATAAGTAATTTAAAAACTAACTCATGTGTTGATTCCGAACTCGAGTTATTGACCTCAGTTATATTTGGATTCAAACTTTCTATTGGATCAAAGTCATTTGTGATATCAACTGATTCTTCTCCAGAAGACATAATATTTATGGTTGAATCATCAGAAGATATCGAATTATGATCATTCATATTTTCTTTCCCCTGATTATCAACAACTACTAATGCTAAAAAAAATTTAAAAACATGAATTTTTGAAATTATTCTAAATTTTGCTCTATAACTTAACAGTTGGATCAATTACCTCTAGCAATAAGGTTAGCCATTACACCCCAAGGTTTCCTGTTGTACTCTGAATATTCAAGACGCAAAGCATTAACAATCAATTCTTTGTTCAAGTATTTAACATTTCTTGATGATTCTACATAATGTTTTAAAAACTAAAAATATTTTTAAGATAATTTAATCATATTTTAATCTTTTATTAGTCAAAAAATATTTACAGATAATATATGAACAGTTAAAGAATACCTTCTCAACTCGAGGAATAATATTTTTATCTGAATATTGAACATCACGGATGGTAGTTTTGTTAATATATTTAAGACTAAAATTTGTATCTAATTCATATGATTGAAGACGCAACATATTTCACAGTATTTCTTAATTAAACATAACACGGTACCGAGTTTCCCTCATCCACACATCACGTTATAAACCTAAATGAAAGTGTATCGGTATCATCACCATAAGTAAACGGTGGCCTAATGGTAGGGTTCGTCTCAGCGACGCTTAGGGGTGCGGGTTCTAATCCAGTCCCGTGCCTCTTTATTTTTTTCACACACAATTTTCGGTACACTTTCTATAACCGACCGTCAATTCTGGCGGCCGTATTAAACTGTATAAAATAAATATTCATTCACGCACACCAACGTTTATCTTCTAGTGAAATTTTTAGAAGTTTGAAAATTGTTACGTTAAATTATAGAAAAAAAATTAATTAACCATTTCACATTAAAAATTTTACTTATGAGTGTTCGCTCCAAAACGGTTATCTATAATTGATAGATAACCGTTATAGATAAACACTCTGTATATTTCAGATTAACAGATAAACGTTTACTTGATAAGGAACATAACCTCAAAACTGACCATTTTCGTTTTTCATAGAAAAACGAAATTGCTGGTAAATTTTTTTTTTTAATTTATAAATTAAAATAAATTTTAATTGGCTAGTTTCCTTCTTTTTGAACAATCTGTAAATCATAGGCATAATAACTAAACATAATAACTATGCCTTTCGCACCAGTCACAAAAATCAGATAAGCAAAATGGTTATCTTAAAAGAAAAAAGAAATATGTTCTTGTTTTTTCCATTGATTATACAACTTACACAATATATTGTCTATATAATAATAAAATATATTGTCTAATATTTCATACACTATACAGGCACTGTATTATACAATGTTCAAAAAGTAATATGACTGGTAAATTATTACAAACAATGAGAACAATAGAAACCCGTTTTTTTACTAACTGAACATTGTTTAGCTATAAAATAAGATTTCCAAAACCAAAATTAAAAATTAATATTTTCGAGTAATTTTATACTGATAGAAATTAAAAATTATAAAAAGGAAATTCGTCTTCTTCCGTGCCTTTATCCCAACTACTTGGGGCCGGCCACCCTTATGCTAAACTTCCACTTGATACGATCTCCCATATTATCTATGCACATCAACAAATAGTCCTCATATCACACTAAATAACATTCTTCCATCTCTTTTATGGTCTCTACCTCTTCTTCCTTCAACATTCTTTACCATAACTGTTCCTACAGCTTCCAATTCACTTCTCCTTGACAAGATCAAACTATCCAAATCTATTTTCTCTCAGCCACAATTGACGCTATACCTATACTAACTCTTGTACGTCAGTTCCTAATCCTTGTATAAATAAAATAATATTTTAGTATAAAATTAAGTCAATTTGATAATTATTTTTTAAGTATATGTTGATAAAGTTTAATAAATGTATTACAAAATCATAAAGTATAAGATTTATAAATATATTATTAAATAAATAATTCATTTTTTTTATATATCATTGTTGCAACTGAATATGCTTTGCGATGTTCTGAAACTACATGTAATAAAAACTGTAGTTGATTTTCGCTGCGAGTTATTTTTTTATTTAGTTCTTGAATTAAAATAATACCTTTTCCAGTAACATCTTGTGTAATGCCGGAATTTTTAAATGTATCTTTTGATAATGTCAATAATATCAGACTTCCAAAACTCTTTTACAACAAAATCTTCAAAAATGTTAATGATATTTTGATTAAAAAGATCATAAAACTATAAAATATTGAATATCATTTTGATTTACTATTGGTCTTACTGTACGAGTTTTAGGAGTAAATTTATTTATCATACCATTCAAATTTTTATATTTTATTTCCTGTAAGACATTTTAGTCAAATAAACATAATACTACTAACTCATCTAAAGTATATCATAAATGTACCATCATATTTTTAACAGTAACCTGACGTTCCAATGCAGATGCTACAAAAAAAAAATACTTTAAAAAAGGTTGTACAATTAAATAAATATTAATCAGTTGACAAAAATAATTTTTTCACCTAATATTTTTATATAAATTAAATATACTTTTATATACCCTCATTTAACTTATCTTTGGAGCAACCTGTTAATATATACCAAATAAAATGAAACGGCCTCCAAAAATACTTTGTTATAAAAAAAAACATTCATATTATTTTAAATCAGGACATTGACGTTTACACAATTATAACGTAGTGAATAACCTTATTGTAAATTAATATCATTTTAATAATATGACAGTAATACCTTATATAAATATGATATCACCTATGTTTTAAATTCATTGAATCGATAAAAAATATACAATGATCATTATATTAGAAAAGTATGTAATAATTACATGTGTAATCGATTGACGTTAGTTAGGTAAGATTAAAAATAGTAGCTTTAAGTAATTAAATGGTGATTATTTTGCTCTTGTATAGTTTTATCAGTTGGTAACAAGACAGTATTTTAATGATAACCTTTAACATATATAAGCGTAAACAACATAACACATTTCATGTAAAATAGAACATTGCACTACAAGTAAAAGTCTACAATAAAAATTTGTTGTGTATCGTACGAATTGAACGTTTAAAGATTTTTTTTTCAAAATATTTTGTAACGAGTGACCAAGTGACGGATCTTCTTTTGTCAATACATTAGAATAATATTTTATTAAGTTTGTTGTTATTAAATTTCTGTAGAAGTACAAAGTATTCTACTCAAAGAGCATAGGACACACGACAAATCAAAACATAGTTGAATTCATAACAAAAAGTACCTTATATATTTTGTTCGTGGAATAAAAGCAAAACAAATAGAATATACAAATAAAAAACATGTGAACTTAACTTGATCTAACAAAAATACTGCTATATTAAAATATAAAATATCATGTTTTTCCTTAACATTTTATATAGAATATTCAATTGTGTGACCAATTATTATACATTTTAAAAAGCAACAGCATTATATAGTTTATTCTTAAAATTATTGTATAAGTCTATAATGACTACTTATTGTCTAACACATTAAGTAAATGTCATTAAAAAACATTTACAGTTAAAGAGTTTACAACACATAATAATATGCGTTTAAATATTAAGGCAGTTTGCGATTTGGAATTACAATATTTTATCATATTATACACTTATGATATTATCTTACAAACCATTTTGGATCAAATATAATACACAATATTTTTATTAAAAGTCGTTCTTAAGTGCTAGGAATCATTGGCTTTGTTATAAACATAGGAAGAGTGTGCTTAACAATAACATTAAGTAAATTGCACATAATTTATACAAGACAACAATAAATATTTGTTTGCGCGCTTAAATTACAACCAAGCAATGTAAAATTTGTCCAACACTTTGATCGGACGAGTGTGATTACATGAATTTAATATCAATAATAATCATTAATAACAATTGTTGAAATTTTTAGTGAAGGGATTGTGTCCCATCGTTTCAGAGATCATTAAAAAAATTGTTCAAGAAGATATAATAACGAAGTACACACGCTACTAATTTTGCGATAGTACTCGCACAAAGCGATAAAACAATAATATATTTAAGTATAAGGTGTAAAAATCTCTTTATTTCAATGATGGTTTCGAAAAAATATATATATTTTTACGATTACACCAAGGTAGGTTCAGGTTTCATGTTACCAGTTTCATCTTTATTTTCGGTTGGAACGCTTTGAGCCTTATTCGATCGTCTCCTTCGACGCCAACAAAAGCATAAAGTAAATAAGATGGCTAAGACGACAAGCGCACCGGAACCGATGGCCCAAAACGGCATGTTTCTATGTTCCCATTCGGACATGCAGTCCTTGTAAATTGCCCGCGCTTCTTCGGGTATCATTGTGCATGTCTCGTTGAACTCATCAGGCGGAGGATTCGGACAATGCATACCGATTATTTGCAACTTGTATTCAATAGCCCATGCTTCCACCTGTTTACAATGGCAATAGCTGCTTTCTGAGGACCATTCGTATAGAAAATTATCGGTAATGTTAAGTCTGGCTAGGCGACAAAGTGAAGCTAACTCGGAAGGAACCAAGTCCTGAATTTTATTATCCGACATGTCAAGTTCGACAAGATTTGGGAGAACTCCTAGCTGTGGGAAACGAGACATATCGCAGTTTCGCAAGTGTAATACTTGTAGACCAGTAGCTTCGGTTAAATAGGACATATTAACTACAGGGTTTTCACTCAAGTATAGTTTTTTCAATGACTTGGGCAATCCCGGCGGAACTTCAGGCAGAGCGTTCTGTTCCAGGTCGAGTACTTCCAAATCATCTAACGGTTCCAAAGCACCAGGTTCTACTTTGAATATTGCATTTAATGACAAGTACAATCTTTTAATATTCGGGTAAATGGTGAAACTGTCTTTTGTCAGCTTATGAATGTAATTACGACGCAGGTTTAACGACTGAAAAAAATTAATGAATGTTAGAAATGTTATTTAAAAAAATAATTTGTATATAATTGTGAGAAATGACGTATAAGCCGTTTTAACGATACATTCAACAATTGACCGACAGTCTTCGTCACTGATAAGTCATAGATGCATGTGAAAACAAAATAGTTTCTCTAAAACACTCCTCAAAATCCATAACATGAATAGCACACTAATAATTTCAAAAATTTGTTAAAAGCAATTACAGCTGTATTGTTTTTTTTTTATATATTTTCTGTTAAAAATACAGAGTACAAAATCTCGAGAGAACACGTTTGATAATTTATACAACATAATGACTCGTATAATCACGATTAAGATTTGAAAGATAAATCATAAACTCAACAATTCAAATTATTTTCTCTTTAACAAATAGTTTGAAAATGGATGAAAATCGATTGTAATACATATAAACTGAGAAATGAAATTGAAAAACATTACACGAGGTTTTAATACAATTGGATTAACTGACGAATTAAGCGATATAGCATAGTCTGTAACAAATCTTAATCCGAACACGAGTGTTATATTTTATAAACCAGAAATTATAATTAGTAAATTAAAATGAGATTGAACAGATGTTTCATCGCAGTTTGTATCAATTGTTTTATTGAACTGATTCGAAATGTGCCAGGAAAACAAAATAAACGGTTTAGATTTTATCTTTGTAAACTAAGCATTTTTACATTACTTAATTCGCACAAGCACACCGAGTTGTATTATTAGTAATTTTCATGTTGATTATTTCATAAGTGTGTAGTTTTTTGATGACCAAGCTTTATTACTATCGGCCGAGCGTCAACTGTATCGCACGTGAAAATTATTAAACAATATAATTTACCAACCTCTACGTCGTTCATTACATTTTCTGGTACCGCTTTTAGAAGATTGGAGGAACAATCGGCTGTCAAAAGACCCCGAGAGTCTTTGGAGTTGATACATTGTGCTTTTGCTTTGATTGTAGAGCCTTGGACCGTACAGGAAAAAAACGTGCCAACAACAATAACGGCTGGAAACATAAATAAACAAACGATAAAATTATTGTGATTTGTATGCCGATAAGACTGCATGAATTGAATTTACGATCTACAAGTATTGCACAAAATAAATGTTTGTACTTTGCAGTAGTCTTAGTAGCACGATGGAACTTTAAATGACCTTAACGGATAAATGGATTGGATCCTTTCTTTTAATGCTAATGAGTCATACTATATACACGAGATTATCTACCGTGTACACATTATTAGTAAAAATTCTTAGTATAATAAAGTGATTTGTCTTATTAAATTCTTAATTTTTTTTTTCGTGTAAACATATTCTACACAAGTTGGTAGCAATGACTAAACAATATTGATTTATTCGCTAAATTGCCCTTTTAACGATCTGTTGATTATTATTACTATTATAAAATCATTAGTAATACCTTTAAATAAATTACCATATCAGTCATACATAATGGGCTATCTTATAAGTGGAATTTTTTTAATTCTATACACCAGTGAATTATAGTAAAAAATAATTTTAGTTAAAATTCCTCGGATAAGCCCTATACAAACTCAACAAATTGATGCATATTTTTAAAACTATTTTTTTTTATAATAAAAAATACCATAACAATAAATCATAACCCTCCCATCAAAATTATAGTTATTAAACAAATACTTTTTTAATACAATAAAATAAATTTTTTTAATAAAAAAAAACCAACGGTTTTACTTACAAATAAAATATTTTAAAATTTAAAAAGCCATTACAGCTGACAAAAAATATTTAAACATGAGATTTATGATAACTTATAGAGAGAATCCGTCAATAATTCTAAAGCTCGTGAATTGCGACTTATTTGAAACGGCATGTTACCATGACTACAACTAAACTATAAACATTTACATTATATTATGTAGTACTATATTGTTAAAATGACGTCATACTTTTTGCGTTTTGTATAAGAAGGGCGTATAAAAAAAAGTCATTTTAACCTAAGTGCTTACAATCAGCCCCGTGTATCTACAACAAAATACATTCAATGAAAACATTGTGAACTATAAGGGAACATTAAATAATAGAAAACTTTAGAAAAGCTTAATATAGAGTATTAAGTTTCACTTTATAGCATATGTAATTGAAGAGCTATATTTTATTATTATTGCTATGATTGTATAATACTGATTGGCTATTTATTGTAACCAACTCTAATACAGTAAGTTCTATTTCCTGTGTAACTCTTATTGCGGTCACATCGAAAAGTAGTAATACAAGGTGATGTATATACTTTGTGGCTTTATTTTCTCATCACGTACTAAAGTTGAGGTTAAAAACTAGGGTGCACTCCTAATAACGTGAAATAACTTTTTTATACAGCTAACATGCAGTAATTATCCAATTTTCTAGTTCTGAAATGCCGTATTATTTATGAATACGACACAACAGAAGCTTCGGTTAAGTAGCGATAACGACCTTAAGTGTTTAACTATCCGAATTGTCGTTGCTGTTGAAAACTACACCGGTAATTTTTTAAATTGTACTTTATAAGCGGTCATTAAACACTTTTTTAACTTTTTCAAAACAATAATTTGATCAATTATCGTGGACAATTCGTAAAATGAAACCATAAAAACAACATAACACTACATCTGACAGTATCATTATTAAGAAATGAAATTGTATGAGTAATATGTAACAGGAAATAGGAGTCATTTTTTATGTAATTAAAAAAATTCTGCATTTTCAATTACTACTTCGAAAGATAACATAAGAATAAACTAAAAGTTATAAAAATATACAAAGTAAAAAAAAAAAAAATACTATTACTCGCAACTTTTATTTAGGCTCAAGTTGCAATATCTCATATTATTAAAATTACTCCGTAGGGTATTAAAAATATATACATCACATAATATCTAGTTATTATGTTTTTTTTTATTAATAAATAGTAAAGTTATTTAAAATTTAATTCATAGTGTTGAATACTGTAGCATACTAGTAATATTTGATGACCATAACTAATGTTATTTTAGACTGTCCACCACATATATCAAGTACGTTTTTTCAATGTAGCAGTCCTAAAAAAACATACTATCGATAACATAGAGTAGAATTTCTATTCGCTACATATCGAATTATTCTAGTTCTATCGAATTACATTGAACAGTCACATTATTGTGTAATATTCGACATCAATGTACAATACTAATACCAAACACTAGGCTATTCGTAAATAATTATTAATTCTTTGTTTCCTCAAATTTTATTGTAATTATGTCATTTTATTTAAAAAATTACAATGCAAGAATAAATAAATAGAAATCACGTAGACGGCTCAACACATTCATACCAAATTCCAAATTAAAACATGTAGAAAGAGAAAACGAAACGTGCAAAAATGACATTCATCTCAATTGGTCGTTATAAATAATGATTACTTAGTTCGATAATTACCCGGTCAGTTTCCTAACCTGGCATTAGTCGTTTATAAGTACTTAAAGGATAAGCACTTTACCTCGATACATTAAATAACCGGGCTGTGTATCTTGGTAGATACATATCCATATATGTATATAAAAATATTAGTTATTGTTGTGTTGACAAATGTACAATATATTTAATGAAATATTTCCAAGTACAGGTTCTGCTGCACAAGGCCCTCTTTTAAACTAAAATTTCAATAACTTATTTAGATTTTTCATTAAATTATACAAGTAAAACTTCTATTATTAACTAAAATAAAAAACATCGTTTCCCCAGTATAACGTTTAAATAAAAATTCGTTTCGGCCGATTCATCGTATACGTGACTTTATTCATTATTATATTATTTAGTCTGTAGATTTTTTTTTTTTTTTTTTCAAAAATACCGAACATAACTAATTGATTAAAACTGTTAAATGTGCTGTTGATGAACACTAGCACGTCGAATCGACGATTTCGTTAAAACAACTAACTGCATTTGCAAGTTTCTACCCAAGTTCCAAAGTCTACTGCTTCATGCTATCACTGTATTAAAATATTACTAAAATTGGTGTCTTGTATTTTGTTTTTGTTTAAACGAAACTATTGATGACCACAAACCATACGACCGCTACCGTGTAGTAATCGCTATACGGTTCAATGGATAACAACAGACTTGCGGACGCTCACAGCAGAGCAGGAAACATGTACATAAACATACACAATGTATAATATTATTTTAAATCAGCCAATCGATTTGTGTCATCGATGGCTGAGAGACCGTGAAGGACATTCTTGGTGTACTCTAAGAAGACGCTAGTTGAAAAAAACTTTATTTGTCAACCACAATATCATAATACATCCCAGTTTCAATCACACCATAGCCTATGCAAGTATTTTATTTGCTTTTTAGAAAGTGTAGTGTGCATACGCAATGAAAAACTGAACTAAATTATGTATCAATAAAGTACAGTCAGTAAATATATACACACAGGGAAGCAATATTATATTATATTACACAGATTACATTATTATCTGTGACGAATACCAACAGATCTACGCAGTATCCGATTTCTTCCAAGGACTTATTAAAGAATAATTCAATTTTAATACATGCATTTGCAGATGCAAATGACACTTCGATTCGCCGAATACTTAATAGATATATAACCTGAGGTGAGCAAGTATATTAAACTAGTGTTTTGATACGAGTTCGTTCGCTATGGTTACACGAGTATATCGCTGTCACGCATCAATAATTTTGTACGAGACGATCGCATTTGTGTCAAGTCGCCAAAACTATATCCAACAAAACTTTTAATATTTTTTATTTTTAGAAAAAATAAATTCAGTATTAAATTATTTTTTACTTTTGTTTCGACAAGTTGCTATTATGAAATTTTCTTTTATTTAAAATAAAACACCTGTTGAATTGTACTTGAGTTTTTTGATTCCATCAAGGAAAAATTTATGTTTTTACTAAATTACTCAAACATTTACCACAAAGAATGTATTATTTAAATACGAAAATTAATTAAATGTGTTTTTTGATAAAACCCATGTAAAATTACTTTATCGTATTGAAATTTTATAAATCGACAAAAATTCTTTAACATTAATACCAATATTTGTTAACAAACAATAAAATACTTAAAAAAAAAGACTAGAAATTTTTACTTGTAAATAATAAATTTATTTACAATAATTATTACCAACAATTATTACTGTTAATAATACTAATTAATTATTAACGACAATTATTGTCGTTAAAATAATAAACAGCAATTGTATTACTACTAATGGGAGAATTCAAGTTGTTTATTACGCATTACTTTATCTCAATCAAAAACGAAAAAAATATTTAAATTCACTCCTATTCTAATTTTTTTTTGTCGTTTTGAAAAAATCGTTTGAGGGAAAAAGTTGTTTAACAGTTATTGAGTACGAATTTCATTCGTTTCAGATAAAAACGTGATATTTATAATAAAAAAAAAAAAAAATAGACAGTTACTTGTTGTACATTCATATATATTTATATTTTTCAATGCAATTGGCAATGGTTGGGTTCACAGCCTATTTGTAATGATTTAGCAATGCAGACGAAAGAAAAATCCAGTATTCTACTAATACCCGTGGAAATCATCGGGATGTCTATCAATCGTCACTATGAATTATTGACAAACCGCATTAATTCTATGAACAATACGTAGTCTTGTGATAGGCGGAAGGAAGAAGAAAGCGTTGAAAATATTTATTATAATAACAATAATAAATAAAAAATTTCTATCAGAACATTAAGAGTAGAAAATGCGAATAAATTGCACTTTCTTTTTTCAAAAGTTGACACGCAAAAGATATAACGAAAGACCAATGATTAGTCTTTTATTATATTGTTTGAGTTTATTTTAAATATTATTTCATTTAAACAAAGAAAACTATTTAATATTCAATAATTTTTGTAAGTTTATAACATGTAAATTAAAATTTGTGTTGGTTCATAAAACATCTTAAAATGTGGAAACGTTAAATTTAACAATTTTTAAATATTTATTGTCAGTCACGCGCCTTAACACAAGTGAACTATAGAAAGGATAATCATAGAAGAAAATATACTTACACAAGAGTGGGATTGTCACCATATTATCTTTCATCATTTTTATGCTAAGTATTCTCCAAAAATTATTCCAGACATGATCGACATTTAAAAATAAACCTCATCATTATTGACATAGTTAAGATGGTCTAAAAATAAAAAATAACATCTTATATAATTATTTCAAATTCATTCAAAATGTAAATTTAAAAATATAATATTATCATTAAAAAAAAAAAAAAAGAATAGGTATAATACACATGAATTATAGCAACTATAGAACGTTTTATATTTAGGGCCTAGAACTAAAGGAACGTATTAACCAAATTGAGTTTTTCGATTATCAGTCTATTTTAACCAATATAAAAAATACTTTTTAAAATGAAAAAAGTGTACATCAATTATATTGGAATGCATATTTTTTAAGAAGAAAAACATTTTTTTCTTGAGCTTAAATGAAAAATAAAAACTTAATTTTGTTCTCCTGAAAGTAAGAAATTAGTTAATACACTTCTTTAATCTTAGACTCTCTATTCTACTAACAGATACTTCATATAGGTGCCAGGAATAAAAGTTATAAACATAAACAATTAACTACTTCCTCAACAATTGCAATTGTAAAATAATTCAGAGGTGCATAACTAATATATTAGTTATACACTATCCCACTTGGAACTGTTCCAAAATTTCAATTTTTTTTTTTTATTTATGAAGTGAAAATATCTAATAAGTAGTTTTTTCACTTCTAAAACCTATTTTAAAAGTATGGTAAAATAATGCAGTCCATGGCAGTTAAAAATAACCCGTTGCAACTTAAGACAAATTACTTGGACGATTTTGTGGCTCAACTCCAAATGTTCCATGAAATGTTATGGTTTTACATCAATTACATGAAATGATGATTTCTAGTAAATTTTATTGAGAAAAATTCATTTAATTTGTATTATATCATTGTTTTTATTTTATTTTTTATTAATTCAATTCCTAAAATCTGTTTAGTAAAATCGTAAATAATGAAAATATGATCATACCCAATATTTTATTCTAAAAAGTTCAAACTTGTTTATTGTTGAAATATATTAAAAATTATAATAAGGTATGAATTTTGGTAAGTATTAAGTAAAGAAATACGCCCATATATTTAAACTAATTAATGAAAATAACTGGTAGTAAGTATTAATAGGCTTTATAGTTCAAGCAATGTTATCCTTCAAACACATTTATAAATTAGATAAATAAACCGTAATGATTCGTCTGATTTCATCGCCGATGTTACCTACCACTGCATTCTTATCAAAATAATTAGTCAAAAAAAATTGTATTGACTGTAACCTAATCACATATAGATAAATGTAATAAATTATACACGTGTGAATAAATTAACATTAAATGAAACAGACGTGACGGAGAAAAAAAAGGTTATTTTTCTCTAATCTTTTGAACTTTTATTATGGATCGTTTTTTATCAAATCTATTTACTATTTGATTTGTTTCGACTGGCGTGACTGAGAAATGTAGATGCTTAGATCTGTAACACTGTTGTGTTGAGAAAGAAGTCTGAATAAAATAACGAAACGCGAATTAAACACTGCTGGTATGTACACACAACATATTTAACACGTTATAAACTCAACCAGGCGATTAGTCTTTCGGTGCTGTATTAGACACGCGCCTTTACCTTTATTAGTGAACCGTTAAGTGGCTGTGCAAAATAAGAACATAATTGGATTGTTTTTTACGACTCGAAGTACTATCTATTACTATTACATAATTGTTCATATCTATTACAGTTTTTTCAATATTTCTCAATTACATTAGACATCGTTTTCATGTCAAATTTATAAGAAAAACATTACACAAAAAACACTATAATAGTATTTGAAGATAAATGAATTTTAATTAGTAACACGGCAAGATGAAAATTACATAAAAGATGTCGACATGAAAACCACGAAACGACAACTACCACTGATGTTAAGTAAAAATATAATAATAAAATACATCTACTTTTATAAGAGTACAAACAGAAGATAAAAAGATGCGTCAGAATGAGCAATGTATTTATTACGAGGTGAATGCTTACAAAAACAAAAGTCACCTACTTAAGTCATTTATAACTATAACAGTTTTTTCATGACTTTTTTAAAATCTATTCATTCATAATTGTTTTATTTTTGTACGTAATCACTAATATGATTTAAATCAAGTCGCATTCGCTATACATAGAGCTAACGTCATAAGCAGAGGCCTCATCATGTGTTGGTTATTTAAATATAGTTGAAATTTAAACATTTGAGTGTCTAATCTTATCTAGTTTGACAAGTTATTCAAAACCAACCAAAACATATTTAGAGGTACTCGCTGACATTACAATATACACGATCCAAAAAAGAAAAGGTTATTATTAAATAAAATAACAATTTATTTCAATTCATTGGATTTTTAAAACCTTTTACCATGATTTGACATGTAATTGCTAAAACTGAAAAACCAGAACTAACTTAAAAAATGTTTTGCTTCAATGGATTTCCTCTATAATTGGGAAACAATTGTTTAAAAAATATGGGTTAGACGGACGATGATAATTTAAAGTCCTAAATCAGCAATGACAGTATTATTTTTAGGCATATTAAAAAAATTTCTAAAGATTTCTAATGTACCAGAACTTCTCGACTCTTCAATTTTTTATGTACTCGCCAAGTAAAACACTAAATCATTTTAATTAATTTAGCTATGTTAAAGTGTGAAAGTAATATAAGTCACGTAAATTAAATTATTAATCGTTCTCAAAGTCAACATTTAAAATATAAATACAAAAGTGGTGGCAAAATTGTATAGTAATAGCTTTATAACACTTTTGATAGTACTAGAAAAGTTTTGTGTAAATACATGTTCATGTACCCAAAAAATAAAACATTGTCTTGATGTACAGTTACGCATTACGGGAACAAATGATTTAAGTGGTCTAAATTTTTATTTATAATGACGAAATAGTTGTTGAATTTAATGCATATTATATAATAAATTAAAAAATTAGAAATTATAAAATTCATAAAATAATATTTTTATGGTAGTTCAATTTACTAGCTAAATGAAAACATAACTTTCCATTATTATTCTTAGAAAAACTTGGAATAATTTAGCACGCAGAAAAAAAAACTATTTCTCAATCGACAGGTAGCCTATACGCATCTGAAACAGCTGTTTTGATAGAGTATACATACCAAAAGTGGCTTTTAGTAAGTATTTCACAAACAAGAGATGTGAAAAACACGCTAATAGATCTTTTAATGCAGTCGCTATACTTTATATTAACTAGAAAGCTAAGTTTAATTCCATGTTTTTTCTAATATTTTAATATTATCCATTGTTTACTCAACTTACATTGAATAATTTCTTTAACATCAATATATATATATATATAGTATATGGTTTTTACGCATAAAATGGTTTACAGCCCGAAGAACTCCTATGTCTGGAGTGGATGAATAATTCTGGCCTTTATTAGAAGAATACTGACGCCAGAAGGGCATTGACCCATTGAAATGCACGTAATAAAATAGGGGAAACTCGAAATTATTTTGAAGGGGTGATGTGCGCACGAGCAATAGGAAATGGAGCATTTTCGTTTTATCGGTCAACCGCCAACAGAACGTAGTTTACGCGCCAAAAACAGCTGCTGCGTTTAAAGAAATAATATTTTGCGCATTCATACTTGACAATAGGTAGGTGGTACAGTCAAACGCAGTTAAGCAGCATACCTGACAGTGGTTTTGGGCGAGGGACAGATGGTCGAGAGGATCGTCTGGAGAGGTAACACGAAGCGGATCNTGGGCGAGGGACAGATGGTCGAGAGGATCGTCTGGAGAGGTACAAAAGACCCCCGTGTCGGTGGTTTAATGTAAATGGTCACGTCCCTCAGACAACGAGTTTGATGCATTACACAAAACCCGTACATTGCCTATGGGAATAAAGATAGTGGAACTCGGTCTTAAAAATGTGATGATAATACGTTTTTAGAGTTGCCTATAAATAAAGACATTCTATTGTTCATACCTTAAAAACGCAAACGAATGATTTTAAATAACTTAATTTATAGTAAAATATCCATTAATGCCTACTAAACGTGTCACTAATAAGGTAGCTTTATTTTTCTTTGAATTGATTCAAAAATGTTTATAGGTACCAAGAAATATAAACAGTATTTATGGTAATATTTATTTAAATAAACAAAGACATTCAATTCTTTCAGTACAGAATAATTACAAACGCATTACGAAGTCAATTAAATAATAGAAAACAACTGTTTAATTATGTATCAACTTCTTTAAATAACCGGTACAATTTTAACATAGCCATGCTATTTTCTTCTCACTTTCTCAACTATTATTTTTAAGACTACAATGAATATTTTAAGTGTTAATACAATAAAAACTAAACAAATATTTTTGCTATTATTTTTAAAGTTTTTTACATTTTTTTTTTTTTATGAATCCTAATAATTAAGTTAGTTTTAATGAATTAGTAAAACTCAAATATAACTCTCTAAGAAATGCTATTTTCAATCATTTTTATGTCGCAAAGATTACTCAGAAGTTACATTATGAATAAAACCACGAGTTCATAATTCCTAGTCTTAACTAATTGTTAATAGCGGAAATGATACATAATATAATGAGCATAGTCCACAAGACCTATAACACAGGTAAATAATATACTAAACTATTTATAAATCTTCTCAGATAAGAAATAAACACATTATTAAAGTGATATTAAATTAATAGTCATTGAACCACAATTTAAACGACCTTATATAGAAAAGCTTGCATTATACTTTGTACAAAACAAACTAAATAATTTTACAAAAATTAAAATTTTTTACCATGGAAATTACACATCTGTTAATATTTTACTTTTCAACAATTGCTACATTTATGTTTTACAATACTGATTGATATTATCAATTTAATAAACATAAATTCAGCAATATTATAAAAAACATATTAGTTAACGTAAAGCACACCAAAAACATTTTGAAATTAGTATATGGGTTTTAAAAGATTATTTTCTAGCATTATAATACATTCATCACCTTTGATTGTGCGTCGTCGTATAGTAAACAAGCAATTAGAGTTGTAAGATTACATTTTGTAGTTTTAAGACAACTTAAGCCAAGTGGGTTGGAATAATATAAAATAACATAAAGTCAAACACTTCGTGTAAGACAGTGTGCCGTAGGGCACCAAAAAATTATGAATATTTTTTTTTCTCATAAAATGTATTTTGTTTAAAAAATATATTAAATAGGGGTGCCAATTATACGATTGCTCTACAGCACCAATGACAGTTAGCAGGGCGCTATGAACACAACAGTAGCACTTTTCCAATTTTATTACCTGAGTTAACGCATTAACAAAAAAAGTTGTTCATAAAAATAATATTTTTTAAGTTTTCGATAATCTATGAAATCAAGGAAAATTGTAAATAAAGACTATTTTACACAAAAAAATATTGTTTAGGAATATCAGAATAACTTATGTGTATTTTTTAGTACGTTATAAATGTTTATAATTTGTAGTTAAAAAAATGAAACATGTACTTACAACAAAGTATATTATTATGTGCAGAAATACAAATACTATCTGTGTAAATTTTATTTATTTTGTATATTACTTTTAGATTGTTACCATTATTTTACAATTATAATTGATTGCACACTCTATGGTCGAGTAGTCATGTACAAAATACTAATTTCGTTATCATATCAACCACCAAATACCTACCTAATTCAGTGTAATATTTTTTATCAAAACATATTTTATACGAAATATTATTAATCTAAAATAAATTTTGTACCGATCTGAGCACAATGTGTACACACAACCCTATTAGTAACTATTGTCGGTCATATGAATTACATATATCGTTGAACAGTGTTTGTTAATAGAATTGTCGGAACTAATGTTAAAATCATAAGTTATATAATATCACTTATTAATATACCATACGGGTTTCATTGAATCTTTTTTTATCGGATTTAAAGTATGACACAAAACCAACATTGGACGGTCGCACATTAATAAAATCTCAATTATTTTATTTAAAAACAGCCCGAGGTAAGTTGATATACTTAGAGAAAACAAAATGAACATTAAATATAACACAAGAGAAATGTATCTAAAAATAGAAGGATAATCCAGAAACGTTTAAAATAATAATAAAACTTATTAATGTGATAAGATGAAAGTAATTACCTTAAAAACTCAAAATTATGGATGTTTCGTATCGTGTACAATTAAAATCTACTTAAAAAATGGTATGTAATTGATAACGCGATGGTAATAAAAAAACGAATACGAAAAACCGTTAAAATCTCAATCACGTTTCAAGGAACAGATTTAACACAGGGATAAAAACTGCACCGGGACGACGGAGGGTGAAACAGCCAGAACGAACGCACGTTGTGAACTAGTGTTTATTATTGTTTTGGCGAAACGGCAGCAGCATTCTTAAGGGTAGGGATACGCACGGCGCACCAGCCGATGATTTACACACTGTACAGACTACGCCTACTTCATTAGAGCGCTACCTATGGGAATAGAAGGTAAAACGAGAATAAAAATTAAAACGCTATATAGGACGAGTTTTAAAAGACTCTTTTGTTCACCTACTTAAAAACAAGAAGTCTAAACTTTTCAATGCATTCGATTATAAAATTCATTTGGAATAATATCTAATCAACTTTTGCCCTGGACACTCTAAAAGGTAAATGACTGACTAATCGAGTTACCAGTTAGTAATTAAGTATATTAGTAATTTACTCTTATGTAAATAGTGTCTTAATTTGAAATTTGTAATTCATAGAAAAACATTTTCTCTGTTATTTTCTAATGACAGGTAAATATTTTCATAAAAAATTTAAATATATCGGGAGGGTAACTGGAACGCACACCTCTCCTTAAATTATGATATAAAAAAATTAAAATATAGTTTTAATTTAAGAAAGAAAACCTTTTTTTATTAATTTATGATTTTCACTATTTTATTAGAGATACTAATTCTTATTATATTAGATATTAATGAATTTAATATTCATAAATAGATTAATTAAATTAGCTTATAGCATAAAAAAAAATTTTTAAATATCATACCAAACCCTTATTAAATTTAAATATTTATATTGAGTATATCCAATAAAAAACGACTAAAGTATAATAAATTGATACTTAATTTGAATTCTGATCAATATAAATTGCGTGAGTGAATACAAAAATTAAATATGTATGTATTAAACACCAAAATGTAACGATAGACATACAAATGAAACTATGGCCTTTTTGGACATTAAAAAGTATTTTTAATCCATTAAACATCCTAACCTAACAATTTTTGTACACGCTACCAAACCATTTCTCACAAGTTGAGTAACATTTATAGATATTAAGAGTAATTTTGGGAGTAAAGTACGCTCATATAACAACCTTTATGATAAACAGTTTCGTGTTTAAAAATCATAAATATTTATATGCTCTAGGGATTTAAATACCCTCCACAACTTAATTTAGTTTGTTTTAGTCAACGGATGTCCAAAAGCATAATTTACATCATTATTAAATAACCTCGTGATGTACCTATGTCGATTGGACACTTTCAAAGTTTTTTTTATTATTTTATGATTTTAAATCTATTTATTAAGTTATTGTTGACATACTTTATGAATTCTAAAAGTAAATCCTTGATATAAAAAATGGTTATACTCAGTTTAATTAATTATTAACCAATCTTCCTATATCCTTTAAAATACATTGTTATAGGAGTCTATTGACGAATTTTTTGACTAAATACAATTTTATATTTCAAGGTGATCTATATAATTTAGTAGACAAAAATTATTAGAAAAACTGTGGTGCAATGGATAAAATATTACAAACATTAATTATATTTAAGTTGAAATCAATTACCATGTTATACTCCTTTTATTAGTTTCAAAAAGTTTTAGTAGTGTAAAAAATTGTTACAAATGAATGTTTTATGATAATCTGTAAATGTATATTATTGTTTAAAGGACATCGCGAATAAAAATAAATTAACAATTGTTATTTTTTTAGAAAAACTCTTTTCATAATTTAAACATTTTTAATTTTTATAGTAGAAATTAATATGAAAAAAATATGTATAAACGTGTGTACTCCTAAGCATAAATATAGCTAGTAAAAATCTACTGAATCATATTCAGATAACTAATTATAAATGTACTGTGTGAAATAGCATAAGCCAATGGTCTTCAATTCGATACTTTTCTAGCTGTTAATGCGTATAGAATTATTAATTGAGATGCTATAGTTCATTGAGTTGATATTTAGTATTAAATGGCATTTAATAAGCTGTATACCGATTTAAAATATAATAAAATATTTATGTCATTATTTAGCGATTGTTAAATCCTAATGCTTCACATTAGTCACAAATGATTCTTTCTACTCTTGATTATAAACTAAATGAATAAAAATGTGTATCATTAAATCTATTTCTCTTTGAGTGTGCACATGTTCTCAAGATATTACCGACCTCTCTTACTACATAATAAACAAGTGGTTAGAATTCGTTGATCTTGGATTTTTCATCATGCACTTGCCCTTGGACGTATTCGCTCATTGTATGGTTATAATAGATAATTGGATCAATACAATAAAAAGTTACATACACGCGATATTGGTAAAATTCGATCGGATGATGATCGACGCACGTTAATGATGAATAAAATGATCGCGGATTACAGGTGGATACGGTAGTAGTTCAATCACTTCACACGTGATCTTAGACAATTGTTTTGTAGACCGGTTGACAAGCCGATACGGTCCATTGATCTGGAGAATATTCGATGCGTTGCTATTGCCTATTACATGTAAGATATGAGTGTATAAAAGTAAAATCTTAAATGCAACGAAAGATGTATAACAATTCATAAAGTGGGTCGAAAATACAATGAATAGAAATCGGAAATTCTAAAGAAAACCGTGTTAATGGTAATATTTTTTATTTTCATTTACTCCTACATGATACACGTTAAAAAACAAGTCAGAAATTTTGTAATCTATTGTCATATGATAGATACAATACGACTAAATACTATTAGTTGTTATATTATAACTTCCGTAGTTTTGTCGCCGTCTTTTAAAATTTAAGTATTTTACTTCTTACTACTTTGTTATTATCTTTAAAATTGATTTTTACATGAGGCTAGTATTTAGAAAAATAACCTTTAGTTGTCATTCATATACACTATAATACCGCCAATACAGTACTATAGAATTTGTTTTTTAACAAAAAACGATACAGAGCCATTCCTGTAATGCAAAATACTCGATTTCTCTTAAAATAATAATACTGATAAGAAACTTTTTTTTTTTATTTTTTACTTTTATATATTTTTCGATTTATCAAATATTAATTACTTTTTTAATTTATCCCTTGTATTTTAAGGGGTGACAACTTTATTTTTTTAAATAACAACAGGCATATTTAACTATATTATAATAAAAAATTATCTAATTAAGAAAATGACAGGGATAACAACTTTTGAACCAGTTTTTGAAAGTTAAATCCATTTTTATATTTAGTCGGGAGGAGAGGTGAAGCCAAAAAATATCTAATGATAAATATTGTCATATACGTGCCTCGACTTTAGTCTACATTTTAATATGGTAATAACTTCCAAAATAATAGATCAACGTTATTATAGATCCGTAATTATCTTAATTAGATTATTTTTTATTTTATAATCTTGTTAAATATTATTGTTGTCATTTGAAGAAAAATAAAGATGACACCCTTATAAGGGGTGAATTAAAAAAGTAATTAATAACTGATAATTCAAGAAATATATGCAACTAAAAAATATTGAAAATATTTTTCTTAACATAATTATTATTTTAGGAGAAATTCAGTATCTAGATACTATTTAAAAAAATTAATGAAAAAAATACATTAAAAGAATCGTCCTATATTTATATACAATAGTGCCCACCAGGTTCTAACATTTTTAACAACTTTTGATTAAGATATTATTTTGTGTTACTGCTTTATTTTTTAATTTAAATTTTATTGTAAGTTAAAAACATTTTTTTTTTTTTGAAGCCCGCAAATGACACACCAGACATTAGATTTTTATATGAATTTTTGTTTATTGTGTAATTATTTATTTTAACGTGCTTATGACAACAAATTTTACTTATATTCCAAATTCACTTACACTAAGTAAAACATTTACTAATAGTTTTTAGTGTTCTATTTTAATAGAACTTAAATCTACTCATTAAATTAATTTATAGTGAACTTAATATTTAAAATTAATAGTTACTGTAAAATTTGACGATGAACGTCAATGTGATATGTCACAACAACAATTCCATCAATTAATTTTTTTTATTCATTTTAAAATGAAAGCATATCGAAATATTATAATATTGTAAGTATATTTTCTAGTGAAAAGAAATCGAAAATATTATAGAATAAAACAAGTAATGAAGTGTGCAATTGTAACTTCAGGCAACTTTTGTGTCACGATAAGTAAAGAAGAATAAATTAATTCATAGTAGATACCATAATATAAATAATAGTTACAGAAATATCATATTGTGATAATGTCCGAGAATTATAATTATATTCTTTTGAATACCAAGGTCTATTTTGTCTGTGTATTTAATTATTGCCTGTGGTAATAATAAACAAAATAGCATACTATGGTGGTGTTGTAAATGCTCTATTTGGCCAAACATAAAACCAAAAATATCATTATAAAATAATATGATATTTTTTTTCGTCAACAATCAAAATTCCCTATAGAGACTTATTTATATATACTGCAACCAATATATATATATATATAATTACATCGGTAACACTGATGCCTGCATTTGAAAATACTCAGACAACTTATAATTAATTAAACTAGAGATATCGTTAAATAAAAATAATAAGTTCAGTAGAATTTTTAAATAATTGCTATTAAAACAACAACATTAATAACAAAAACGTTTAAGTTTCTTTCAAAAAAAATGTTATCATATACTTATTGTATAATTAAAATAAAGGAAATCAAACTTACAATTCTGTAGTAATTTTTGTATAATAAATTAAAGTTTAAATCTGTTTTTAAATTATACAATTAGTGTAATTCGATAAATGGATTCTAAATAACTGATCCAGTACTATTTTACTAAGTACTAAAAATATTTGATTAATTTAAACGTACATATTATGATTTCTATATAATAATCATTGATTTTAATAATAAAATGTTTTGTTAATTTACAAAATTAGAAGGAAGGGTAAGGTAAAGATTTGGAGCTATTTACTATTTTATAATTGTTATGTAAAACTATAATTCAATGAATATGATATTTATGAAGCATTAGTTATTTAATTTATGAAAATACCATAAAATAGTTGTTTATAAATTGTTATCACACGCTGATTTGC